GGGAGAAAGATGAGGCTTTCTACTCCCGTAAAGATTTACACCCTCGGAAACCCTATACAGGGTCGCTATGGGTCGGAACTGACTCGATGGCACATAACAACAACAACAACAACATGAGCAACCCTGGCCCCAGGCTGCCTAGGCATGAGCTGCCTCTGGCCTCCACGTGGAGCAGCCTGTTCCAGGGACCAGGTCATGCTATATATAGTCAGTGTTGGGGACGGGGACTGAGGTGCCCACTGTGATGTCAGAGTATGTGGATTGGTGTCTGGTACAGTCCTAGGCTAGGCAGCCCAGATGGCAGGTTGTACTCAGTGCTCATTCATGGACAGATGTGATGGAGGGGCAGGGGCTGGCCATCAGGGTAGAGGGAAGTCTCTGTCTGCCCACACTCACCTTGCATAGCTGGCCTGTATCAACTGCTGGGCAGAGACAATGCTGACCTGTGGGCTCAGACACACTGGATCAGGTCTCTCGGGTTTGTGCGGTGACAGTGGTGAAGTGAACAGAATGCCAAGGTGGGGTGGTCCCACCTGGCCCTTGAGTGGCCTACTGGATGCTTGTCCTTGTCACATCATGGGGGATCCTGGAATGGTGCATGGCTGCGTCAGGAGGGGTGGGGTGTGGCTAAAGACAGGGGAGGCAGAGGTTGACCACCCCTGGGGATGCAGAGGTGTAGAAGGGGCTGGTTTTTATTCTGTGCACCTGAGCCAAGCTCAGGGAGCCGCACCGTATCTGTCACTCAAGTGTGTATCTCCCCGTAGAGATGCTTAGTGGACTCAGGTTTCAGGGCTGCACAGGTGACCAGTGCAGATGTGTGTGGGATGATGCACAAGCGGGCTCATCCTGTGACCTCATCATGCTGACCACATGACTGACCCCCCAGTCGTCTCTGAGGCCAGGTGTGTGTCTGGTCCCATTCTCATGGGCTCGCACCACACCCCTCCATCCCACTTTCCTTCCTCACAACCATCTCGGGCATCCTGGTGACATGGCCTGCCATCAAGCTGGTCCCTGGGCGCATCTCAGCTGAGTAGCACATTCTCCATCCTGCCCCACCCCCCAGATAGCTGAGCAAGCAAATAAACATGCAAACACTCACAAAACCAGCCGAAAAAATAGCACCTCTTCCCATCTAGATGATTCCGGGCCACCGGTTGGTGTTTAATTTTACACCCGGAAGTTCCACAGGGTTTTCCCTAACAATGAAGTCAGCAGTCACACCTGTGCACTTCTTGTCAACAGTCAGCATTAGCATCTCATTTGTCACTTCACCATTTATGGACTGAGAGGCCCTACTTTCCCTGGATGTCTGTATATGGATTAGTGAAGGGATCTTACAGATCTTGCAGCAATCCCAAGTATTTCATGTTTATGGAGTGCTGAGAGTACAGAAAACTCCAAAGAAGAAAATGGTTCTCTCGTGATAGCTCCTCCCAGAAACACCCTGTTTACCGTGTGACGTAGTTCCTTTCAGGGCTTCCTCCAGGTGGGCCAATTAAAGCCAAGCCTATTGCCATTAAGTTGACCCTGTGTGACAGACCAGAGCTGCCCCATGGGGTTTTTACTTCTCTCTTCTTATTGTGAATTGAGTGAAGATCATCAGTTTTACATTCAACAAATCATATACTTGGTTTCATTACAATGATTATAATCCCCTCCATGTTCCAATAGTTAACAGTATTTACCTCTGTCACTTTAATGCTTACATTCCTCTCTGTGTCTCGCAGTACTTCTGTCTTTCCTCTGTCAGCTTCCCCATAGGATTTTCTTGGCTCCAATCTTTACAGCATCAGATTGCCAGGTCTTTCTTCCTTGGAGCTGCTGAGTGGGTGTGAACCTCCAGCCTTCCAGTTAGCAGCTGAGCACAAACCGTCTGCACTTTTATGGGCATACATTGTTGTTGTTATTGTTGCGAGGTGCCATCGAGTCGTTTCCGACTCCTAGCAATTCCAAGTACAACAGAACAAAACACTGCCCAGTCTTAGACCACCCTCACATATATTATTATGTTTGATCCCATTGTTACTGCTACTGTGTCAACCTATCTCAGGGTTTTTCTCTGGTTTGCTGACCCTCCACCTAACCTAGCATGATGTCCTTCTCTGGGGACTGGTTCCTCCTGACAAAGTTTGTGAGGCAAAGTCTCACTGTCCTCGCCTCTGAGGAGCATCCTGGCTGGACTTCTTCCAGCATAGACTGTTGGTTCTGGTGGTGGTCTGTGAGTTCTATTAGTTTACACTTCCAGAATTGGGGCTGCAGGATGTAATGTATGGACCCTGTACCTCCAGTGGAAGCTCACGACCACCAGTGAGTGTCTCCTGTCTCTGCATCTCAGTCTGCAGAACAAGCGCCACCACAGCCTGTTTGGGTGACTGATTCCTCCTGACAATCTCAGGTCCTTCCCCGCTATATGCGGGGACCCCAGGCCTGCCCTCTGGTCCTTGTTCTGCCCCTTGGATGCTGGCCACAGCACACCCAATGGATCTCCACCCTCCGTCTAGCCCAGTCCCAAGCTCGAAGTGGCGGCCACTGGGTCTGGCTCACTGCCAGATCACACCAAACCCAGGTTCCTGGCAACTTCAGCTTCTTTTCTTTATTCTTCCAAAAATGATTTTCAGGCAGGAAGGGGACAGTAGGCAGAGTTAGAAATAGCTGAGGCCTGTTTCCAGTTGAGCAGGTTCTGCAGATGTGTGCTGGGATAATTGTGGGTTTGCGCTCAGCCCCACTCAGTTCTACTCTCAGAGAAAACGGGTCCCCCAGCCCAGCCAGGCCAGTCCTGTTGTGGGTGTGGGTGGAAGACACTGGTGCCCCAGGATAGCCATTAGGGGAGGGAAACAAGACCTCCCAGCCCCATCTCCTCCCTATGGGATTTCAGCCCCCTCCGTGCACTTCTTCTGACAGGGGGAGCAGACCCCACATCTCCAGAGTGTTTGTGGAAAGGCTGTGCTTAGTGGACCCTGAGTCAACTATATGTTGTGCAGGTGCACGGCATCTTCATAAACTCTACGTGTGGCAAGAATGTCTCAGAACTCTGCTCTTTGCTGCTTGATTCCCTCACGGAGCTCCACAAGGACCTCCTCCTTCCCCTTTCACCTTCTTTCCACTTCCTTCCCTACTTGCAGGCCCATGGAAGCTTTAGAAAAATGAACACTGGCCTAAACAGGCCAGGGTCACATAGCACACAGATGCTGTATTTGTTGTGATGGTGGTTAATTGTTGTCGTGTCAATTCCAACTCATAGTGATGCCACATATGCAATCAAGTTTCTCAATAGGGTTTCCAAGGTATGGCCTTTCAGAAGCAGATCACCAGGCATTTCTTACAAGGCGTTTCTGGGTGGGTTTGAACTGCCAACCTCTCAGTTAGTAGTCAAGCACTTAACCATTTTCAAAAAGATATTTTAGAACCAAACGTGTTGACTTTAGGTGCCCAGTGGCCACAGTTGTCTCTGCTGGGCTCCCTTCCATCCCCTCCCTGGGACCAGGCTTAGACCAGGGACTTCAGAGATCATGGCATCAGCTACCTGGGGTCTAGGTGCAGCCACTGCCCTGTGACCAGAGGCCAAGTCCAGTCTGCAGATCTGTGACTGCAGGAGTGTGATGTCTGTTGGGGGCTGCTGTGTGGATGGGGAAGGACCCCCTCAAACAGACACATCTGTTTACATGTAAACGCCTAAATGCATAGACATCTGTGGTGGCTGCTGTGTGGACAGGGAAAGACCCTCCCCCACATACACACATGCATGTGTGATTCCTTCTGAGTGCATAGACGTGTGCAGTTGTTTATTATGTTTGGGGAAATACCCCACCACACACACATCTGCACAGAAACCTGTCATGATGTGTCAACAGGTTAGGCTGGGATTCTCAGGGGTTTGGCTGACATTGGACTGACTGTTCTTCCTAATGCAATATAATGTTATCACTCTCCACTTTGTGATCTGATGGGAGCAGCCAGTTGGTTGAAAGCGCATCGGCTTCCTTGTGGTTTTGGCCTGCATCCAATATACATATATATGGATGTTCTGACAAAGCTCTTGCTCTCTCTTGATCTTGCATCTGATTCATCATTCTTTAACCTCCTGTTCTTGGTCTATGAGCTAGCAGCCTGACATCTGATTTGCAGATCTTGGGTTACTCAGCCCTAGGGACCACATGAGTCAGGAGAAGCCTCCAGCCTGATACCTGATCCTTAGATTTGGGACTCCGCAGCCTCCACAACCATACAAGGCATTTCCTTGAAATAGATCTATTTACACATCATTCGTTTTGCTTCTCTAGAGAATGCAGCCTAAACTGTTTGTTACTGAGAGTGGTTCTAGAAGAAAGAAAGTTTAAGGATGAATTTTCTGAACTGGCTCTCAAGTTTGGCTAGACATAAATCCACTGACTGATTGCACTAGAGAAGAGGAGGGCAGTACTAACACATGGCATGAGGTGGCAGTAGAAATAGATAAAACACCACCACTATTGATCAAGTATCTGTGAGAAACGGGGCT